AGAAGGAAACTTCACTTACTTGCATGGAAAGAACTCAAAAAGTCTATTGGACTGGGTGGTTTGGGCATTCGTCCGTTAGTTGAAATGAACGAGACTCCACGATAAATGGCTCTGGAGGTCCATGAAAGAGGAGGGTGCCTTGTGGAGAAGGATCATATCGGTGAAGTTTGGGGTGGAAGGGAATGATGGTTCACTTGTGTGGTTTTGCGTTCACATGGGAAGAGTCTGTGGAAAAGAATTGGGGGCGGGAAGGAGAGGTTTCAGCATTGCATCAGATGGAAAGTGGGTAGGGGGGACAAAATTAGTTTTTGGGAAGATCAATGGATTGAAGGTGGCGCGCTCAGGGAGCAATTTCCCTGGATCTTCAGCATTGCTCAGCACAGAGAGAGATTTGTGATTGTTTTATGGGAGTGGGGGGAGGAGAGGGAGGTCGGCAGGTTCTGGTCTCTAGAAGCTTAAATGACTGGGAAATAAGTGAGTATGAGAAGCTGTTGGGAGCTCTCTCGTGTATTGCACCAGATGGCAACAATGATAGTCCTCAATGGAAGATCACTAAAAATGGCTCTTTCAAGTAAAATCTTGGTACAAGTGGCTGTCTAGAAGCGACATCGAGGCTGATAGCTTCCCCTATAAATAGGTTTGGAAGGTGAAAGTTCCTCCCGAGTCTTTTTTTTCGTTTGGGAGCCTGGTAGAGAGTGTATCCTAACTATTGATAAACTAAACTAAAGAGGTGGGGGACAATATTGGTGAATATGTTTATTTATGCAGGAGAGCTTAGGAGACTTGTAACCATTTGCTGCTGTGGTGTCCGAAGGTGTATGAGCTGTGAACCATGGTGTATAGTGTGTTGGAGATCAATTGGGTGGTGGCTAGTTCGGTCAAAGAGGAGTTGGGGGCTTGGGAGTACTTGAGGGGTAGATGAATGTTTGTTGATATGATTCCACTTACCATTATGAGGTATGTGTAGAAGGAAATGAATAATAGGGTTTCTGAGGGGATTGATGATGTCAATAGTTTTAATGTTCTTAAGAATAGATAGTTTAGGACCCTAGGTTTTTTGTTGTTGGGTCACCCTCCACCACTAAAGGAGGCTCAGAAACTTTTTTGTTGCAATGACTGACTTGTAAATTTTTGTATATGGATTGCACCTCCTTGGTGCTCATAGTAATATACTTTTCACACATTTTTATTTCAAAAAAAAAACCTGTCAAGTTGCAAAAAAAAAAGCAGAGAGAGAGAGAGAACTAATAAATACATTCACACAAGAAAAATAATAATTAGAGAACAAAGCTCAAGGTCTATTTGACTCCTGTAGCAGATACATACTCTCCAGTGAAAATACCAGATTCCCTCAACCTCATTTCTTCCTCTCGTAGCTTATCAACACTGTTCTTCTCTCTAAAATGCCTGTAAAACTCTTGCAAGCGGGCAATATCCTGACTTCTGTCTATGATTCCGGCCTCTCTCTTTGCTAGCTTTTGCTGCAAAATTATAGGAAAGGATAAAGAACAGAAGAGATTAAAATAACTGTACAAAGAAAAATCAAACCAGTTGAAAATGACGAAGAAAAAACTTCTGATTAGAACAAGGAGACAGACAAGCATCCAGACACAAGGGGAGACAAGAACAACTAGAGGCAGGCTTTGCTCATATATACAGAGAGGCTCATATCATTTTCACATGCACATAACTTTTTTTAAGAAATAAGAAAGGAAACAAATTCCATAACCGAGAATATACCTTGATGACAGACATTAGACCAGTCTTGAATTGTAAAACACCTCTCCCTTCGCTGTTAGGATCCAGATTTTGTGCAAGTGAATAAGCATGCTCACATACTGCAGGTAAACAATGATAAGAGGACTTATTCAGAAACAAAGATAGAGAAATTTGACAATATTGAAGGACTTCCATTGAGTATATCATAATAGAATCCAGCACTGCAAGTTGTGAGCACACATCTTTCATGCATCATGCAAACCTGAGAAACTCTGGTAAAAAATATGCTCTAATTTTATATCTTTTGGAAATAAGAAGTTTAAGAAATTGAAATTCAATGGAAGAAATGGCTGATTGCAAGCAGTTTATATGACATCAGTTAGTTGTAGAATTTAAATTTTTCAAGGTGGCGAACAACTTCGCAAAATGTTCTTTGCCTAATCTTCCAGCAAGTTTAGAACTTTCAACATCTTTTTTATAAGGAAAAGAAAATATTTTCTTAGGAGAGAAAGAGAATACGAAAAATAGGAGGAAAACATAAATGTAAGTGCCTCCCATTCCTTTTGCATACTAGACAAACGTTTGTCCTAGAAAGAACATGTGCCCTGGCCTATAAAGAAGCCAAAAAAACCATTCCTATTGCAAAGAAGTTATAATGCTAGGCACATTGATTAAAGATCTTATCACTAATGTGAATTTGGTTCAGATATTAATTCCATGAAAATGAAATGAGAATATAGAACAACTGGGATAAAATTTTGGATCAAAATAATATTTTTTTAAATAAGTATAAAAATATATTAATAGGCACCAAAAGGGTGTCAACCCGCATACAAAGTATTTACAGCTCTAAATTATAGAATAAAGAGAACGACCCAAAAAATCAAAAAGCCAATACTCTAGAACCATCTACTCCTGATCCTACAAAATCCTCCACATCGTCAACCTCCTTAAAAGTTCTTCTATTCCTCTTCTTCTAATTACCTAAAGATGGTAAGCGGATAGATCCACATATTTCCTTTGCACACCGATGCCTTTCCACGCTCATATTTCATCTCTACCAACCCGTATCACCACTATACCATAGTTCATAAACACATACCAAGCTTTTATGCACGGACTCATAAGACATGATACAAATTTGCAGCC